GAAAAAAAAAAAAAAAAAAAAAAAAAGGTAGGCTTAATGGATCTCGAAGAAAATTAGCACAGATGTAGAGGATAGTATAGAGAAATCATAAGCTACTTACTTTTATTTTTATTCCACGGGGAAGAAGTCGCGGGCAATAGTTATCTATTATAGAAGTGAATATTTTGCATTGCTATATACAGGATGAAAGGCGCATAACGGAGCGTGACGGTTTATATTTTTGTAACTCCTGTACTGATAAATGAGGACATCTTGAAGCCACTCGTCTGTGAACGAATCTTTATATTCATATATCTTAGAACAATGATGTAATGCACTGAATGCCTGTCTATTAAATGACAAGGGCTCGGTTGCTAAGACTCTGCCCTTAACCTCATATAAATATTATAATTTCAAACTTTAAAACTATCGTTGTAAAAATAATCAAAAAGCACATTCTGTTGTTTTGTTGCTTTTTATTAGTAGGCGTTAACCAACAAAATATCAATAGATAAATGCGATAAAGAATTGTCATTGATTTTCAATGTAAAAGACTAATTTAAATTAAAAATTATTGTTAGTAGAGGTCAATGTTTGCTGGTGCACATCTGACGTCACACCTACGTCACACATGTAAGAACCGGTCAAGGTAATGTTGCAAAAAACTTAATTTCCTCCTTCAAAGTTATACATTAGTACTAACTTAACAGCTGTCAGAGTCGCGTGTGATGTTTGTGAAATAGTTTTTGTTTACCATTAAAATATAACAGACTTTTCGTTATGTTTACACAGCTAATGGTTTAAACGTCTCTTTTTTCTAACAAGTGTGTCAAATTAATTCAGTACCCTGAAAACGAATTATGTGTTATTTCTATATTTTACTCACAGATAAATGACCTTTCTAATGGTGAATAAATTTTTAAAATCGGCCCAGTGCAGTGTTTTTACGTGAATCGAATACAAAAATACAAGTCTCTTTATAATTTTAGTATAGACTAGTTGGTCCCGTGCGACTTCATCCGCATAAAATTATGAAAATTTTATTTTATTGTTTACATGGGTCAAATTATCAATTGCAAATGTCAAAATGATATGACATGACATGACAAAGCATGGCAACCTTGCTTACTTGATCTTGGCAACAACTTATGGTCTCTTTCCCACATAAGGGTTTTTATCTAAAATATTTACCCTCTAAATTTAATGGCGTAAAATATATAGCCTAAAACGTGACGCAAGTTTAGGGCTTTTTATTTAAAAAGAATTATTCAAAAATATGGTGTAATTGCTGACATCTTAGACAACAAAGAAATGTGTGTTTACGCTTTATTATAATAGTATAGATAAAAACGTTTAGAAGCCGATATAACCTTGAAAAGATTCCCTATATCCCACGAAATTATTCATAAAGATTTTTCAATATTAGTCGATAATATTATGATACAATTGTTTACAACGCGTGCAGATTTTTATTATTAATATTATCAGATATGGGATATGTTAATTGTTGCCATAATAGGTAAACGACTTTCGATAACCGATTACATTATAATTAAAAAAAACCTTACAACTCTAGTCAGCATTACACGAACAAACACAAATTGAACTGCATTAAAACACTTGTTGACGGCTTATTTGTCGTTCAGGTCCATGACCCTTTTATTCTTTGTTAAAATTCAATCTTAATCATATTCATTTATTTGCTTTAATCACTAATAAAGTTTAGCCATAATTATTTTATTGTATTTTAAAAAATACAATTAATAAATAATTTAAGTCGTATAATTAGGACTTTTAGGGTTGTAAACGTCGTTACGAGGTGTAATGTAACATTCCCAACGAGCGGGTCTATGCTCTCTGGTTTCTTCGCTACGAACTGACAGTATAAAAGTTCGCCGTGTAACATGCTGTATCGTTCAATACCAATCCCTAGGTACTGACCGACGTTACATGTAACATTCCCATCTAGATGTTACGTTTCTCCGTAACACTACATATTAACAAATGTTTCGGCATTGGAAATGCGTAGCAATAAACGTCAGAAAGTCACAAAAACTCGTGAAATCTGATAAGGATGAAACATAACAGTTTATATCTTTTACTAAGTATATTGTGTATTTCCCCGTAACATAATTGCATACATGTTTTAACACTTATATCTTGTCTTCTAGTGGCATGTACTTCAGGATGAGATACGTTACTGTCAGTTAACACTCCGCTAATGTTGCTATCTCTGTTTTTCATTAGGAAGAAAAGAGATGACAAGTTTTAAAAATGTTTTAGTTTCCCTAATGAGAATCCGTGTAAGGAAAGGTTTAATATCAAAATGAGAAATCTTAACTGAAAACAATTTTAAAATTACACACGGCAAAAATAATCCCACGAATAACCAGTTTTTCAGAAAACGATAAGATCTTATTTAATACGTATATTTCCAACAATCATAAAAGAAAAATATTAACAGTCTCTTTTCACTTTATTTCAAGTATGCATTTCCATCATGAAATAAAATTAGCGTAATTATCTTTACATTGGCCTTGCAGTGTGAAAACCAGACTGAAGTGGTTCCTTTTTAGTGTATTAACAAAACTATACGATACAAGTTATATATTTAAATTCTTAAGAGAAAAGTTACATTGTGTGTTTTTGAAGCAAGCTAACTAAAGAGTCGCGATAAGTATAACAAAATAGATTTTTTATATTCCTGTCTGAGTCTATAAATCTATCCGTAAGTCCACAATTCCAGGTAATCTTTAAAACGACTTAACTAAATGAAAGGTTAAGAATTCAGGCCATTTTTTTCAACTCTACACTGACTAAATTTCATATAATAGCGAGCCTAAAATATTTACACAAGTGGTTAGACGTGTTATTTTATTTAACGGAAATAATGTTAGTACTATTAGAGCGCGCGCACACCTTTGACAAAACTATCGCTTTGATTCCTACGAGCTTATATGAAGGTACAATACTCGATGCTTTGTTGTGCAACTAAACAGTTGAACGTTGCTACAATAGACAATCGCACAACAGTAGTCTTGGGCTTAATCGGACATCTGCAAGTGCGCACTGTACTAGTATAATTGGGAAAACGTACTAGTACACACTTTTAGTACCTTTAGTACTTCAGATTTGTGAGAACACAATACATGAATAGAATATAACGAGGGTTATATATTACTTCACATCAAATTTTAAGCAGGGTCAAACATAAATTATAAGCAAAAATTAATTTAGCTATAAATATTTTTTTACACTTTTGATTCTCATTACCTAAGGTGGATGCTTCAATCTGGCAAATTTTCAATCAAATCAAACAACGAAGAGGCAAACACCGATATCGTGTAGTGTGCTAAAACTACTAAATGTCCGATTAACAGAAGCCGTTCGGTAACGTTACTTTTAGTACAGTGCCGAGTAACATTACTTTTTTTAGTATATCGTACGTGTACTACCCAAGACAACACAACAGTTCTGCGATAGTTTATTCAAAGTGTGCGCCCGTTATAAATATCACACTGAAGTGATGGCACTCATCCAATTACTTTAGTTTACCAACGTATTTACATATTGCTATTAACGTAGTGATAAGGTGATAAAAATCTACGTTATCTATCGCCACTTTTATCTCCAAGTGCTTCTGAAATAACCACTGAAGTGAATATAACCAATGTAAGCAAAGCATACACTTCGACTGGTGTTACCAATTTTAATAACAAAGTTTTTTCGACAGTATAAAGTGCCAGTTGTGTGATGTTCGTAAACTATGTAAACAGAAGTGAAAACTTGTAAATCAACATGTCTACTGAAAAAAAGGCATCACCGTTCCTGAAACAAGTGAGTTTTATTAGAAAACTTAAGTATATTGCTTATAGAAACGTATGTAAACTTTGTCGACCCTCCAAAGAGAAAAGGTATTATATTTTGACACAAGTAATCATTCGAGGTCATAACGTTTTCAAATATTTTATTGTTAAAAGATAACATTTTAGATTCAAAATTAAGTCATCACACATTGCTGTAATTACCACAAATAACATAGCAATTATTCTCAAAATTTTTGTCGTCTCGATTATTCCAAAATCAATAAGTACTAAGTACTATTTACCCACTAACCTGCACCTTACCTTACCAGTTTATTAACACAGAACACCTGATCAATTTTAAATCGATATGTTATTACAAGTGACAAGTATAATAATACCAATAGAATTAATAGAAATGTTTATATTTCATTCAAATCGCACAACTGTTTAGTCTTGCTTTGATTCCTTTGAACTTATATGGAGATGCCCTACGCAATTGTTATTTGTGCAACTAAACAGTTGACTTGGCTGCGAAACAATCGACAATCGAACAATTGTCCGATTGTTTAGTAAAGGTCCGCTCTTATATTCTAAGCCGATCGTAATCCGGGCTTTACTTTTTAATTAAATTAACTATGTCCAGTGTTTCGTGACGGCGGCGGTGTGCAGTAACATCGCGGGTCACGGCTCCATCATCGGCTACCCGGCCATCCTACTGCCGCAGCTGCGACAGCCCGACTCCCAGCTCACGCTTACTGACGAACAGGGCTCATGGATCGGTAAAGATTTAAAAACACACATAATGCAATGTCAGTGACAGGGGCATCGCCAGCCGGCGATCTAGTGGAGGGGAGGGGGAACAAGTAAATCCTTTCTTTTATTCTAAAGAGAATGGTATAATAAAAAATGACAAGTTATTTTAGTCACGGGTCTGTAGGAATTGTAGGCACCTTAGTATTTTAAATTAATACATACATTTTTAAAAAAAATGCCTCTTTTAAAAGCACAGCTACCGTCCCTGTCTCCCTTTGCGACGCTCATGTACTAATAGTAAAGGCTAGAGTCAGAAAGTAGACTAAATTTGTCGACAAAATGAACCTTTAAAGCCATTATGTTAGATTTATAACGTTAGTTTGTTCCAAGTATAGATGTTATCAATTTGAAGAAATAAAACCAAGGAAGATACGACGATGTCATGTGATAAAACATTTGCTCTGATGTAAAGGTTTTGACGCAAAATATCAAACATAATCTGAAATATTTTCAAGTACAAATACAAAATGTGATATACAATACTGATCAAGGACAGCGGATTGTTGATAAATTATCTCATTGATATGAGAAGAGATTGTTGTAGTTCGAATGAATGAAATTGCACCTTCCAAGGACCTACATCATTTCTTTCATAGTAGTCCCCATAGCATTGTCATCCAGACGGACTTCCTAAAGTCCGTGGAAGATCTCGCAAGGAGGTAATAAAGGGTAACCTGGAAATAAACTTGAGGGTTCACCTAGACACATCAATGTATTCACAGAGACCGAAAATAAGAACGAGGCAAATAAAAGATTGGGAGAAGATGGTTTAGTTTACATGCTAGTTAATTTTTAAACATTATTATGATCATGTCTATGATAATTCTTAGTAAAATACTTTTGTTTGTGTGCAGCGTCAGTGCTAGGTATTACAATCCTGGTGGGCAACTTCATGACGCCGCCCCTAATGGAGCGGTTAGGCAGGAAGGTGGCACACTTCGCTGTAACACTGCCTATCATCGCCGGCTGGCTTGCTACTATATTTGCTTCGAGTTTTGAGGTAATATAATTTTTTTAATAATATCTTATTAAGTTAAGTTTTCCATCGATAAGAGTATATTGCTCTAAAATACATTTTATTACTATATCTTTATGATCTAAGATAGTTTTAAATGTAATATACGTCTAATTTACTATGTTACCGGAAACTTTAAAAATAATTTCGTTTATTTCCAGGCTTTATTAATCGGGAGAATTCTACAAGGTATTTCGTTCGGAATGATTTTACCTTTGGGATCAGTGCTTGTAGGAGAGTACACCAGCCCTAAGAATAGAGGTGCCTTCCTCATGTCGGTCTCTTGGGCGCAAGCTTTTGGTATATTCTTCGTCCACCTCGTCGGATCTTTAATTAGCTGGAAGAAGACTGCTATAATCTGTCTTTCATTCTCCATCGCCAGTCTACTTATGACTCTCTACTCGCCTGAATCACCGAGCTGGTTGGCATCTAAAGGGAAATACGACGAATGCAAGAAAGTCTTTCGCTGGTTGAGAGGTGATGAAGAAAATGATGAACTAGAAAAGATGATACAAACAAAACTCGTCACGGAACATGTAAAAAAGCAAATTACATTCAATGGAGTAATGGAAGTAATTAAGAAGAGAGAGTTTATAATTCCTATAGTTTTAATGATTCACGCCAATGCTATGATGCAGTTTGCCGGAGGGACGACAATGGCGGCTTATTCTACAACAATTATTCGATTAATAATGGGTCCTGAAGCTAGTGCACATTTCTGGATGGTAGCTTTGGATGCGCAAAGGTTATTATCGAATACGGTAGCCGTGTACATAATTGACAAAATGAAAAGACGGACTATGATGTTTTTAACTGGTGGTATTTGCGTTGTAAGTCATGTAGCTATCGCTGGATATGTTTATTTAAAAGTTAACAATCTCTTACATTACGATGCTGTTTGGATACCAGCTGTACTCATCAATCTGCAATTCTTTTCGGTAGCTACAGGCATGGTGCCGCTACCTAATGTGATTGCTGGAGAAGTATTCCCCTTGGAGTACAAAGGACTTGGAGGAAGCATTAGCGTAGTCTCCATCGCCGCATTTATTTTCGTGACGCTTAAAACTTTCCCTGGCCTGATAGGTTCGATACATTTAGAAGGGACATATTTAGTTTACGCGGCCGTATTGACATACAATCTGATCGTGATATGGTATTTGTTGCCGGAGACGAAAGGAAAAACGTTGCAGGAGATTGAAGATGAATTTAAAAGTAAGAAAGGTAAAAGTAAAGATATAGAAAATGTTTTAGAAACGACTAAAATAAACGATACTGATAGTATAGAAGATAACAAAATTAGTGAAATTGAAAAACTTAAAGAGAAAGAATAGAATATTGCTAATCCTGCAAATGTTGGATTGTGGGTTACATTTAGTGTCGAGAGATGGCGCTTATATGTTAAAAATGTGATATTTAAAAATTTATTTATTTGTTATTGTTATAATTTATTATAATAAAGTTATTTAAATCGATGGATACAGATTATTTAAAAAAAGGAAACATGTATCGATAGAAATAGAACATTATTATAATTAGATTAATACATAGCTAATCCTCTTTTATGAATTAGAATATTTCAACACTACGATACGAGTTTTCGTCGTAGTGACGAGATTCTACCGTTTGATATAATTCATTAATGACTAATAATTTCTGATAATCTTTATTTCCCTATCTTTTGATTAGTTATTAAATTTTTAGTAATTAGATGTATGTTTTCTGAATGAACCTGAATATTGATATTTTCCAAGACAGATTATTATTGATGTCGAAATATTATAGTCAAAATATAGCTTACAAGTTACAAAGTCGAGACAACTTTGTACCTCGTGTTTTTCTAGAGTACGTTCTACATCTGTGGTTCATTGAGACCCATTAAGACGTTTTGGAGTAGTAAGAAACATGTTTCCCTTCAAAATTTCGTACTTATGAGTATGATAATATTGGAAAGACAAATTTAACTTGTTATTTTGCTCTAGGGGGGTCAATTTCTAATCATTTATTTAATCTTATACGTATGTATTATTAAATAATAAATGCAATGTCATTACAGTACCGATATTCTTTGTTTTACGTAATCCGATTCTCTATATCCTGAAGATAAGATTAATTCTATAATCTCTGAAAAACTTTGTACAAATTAATACAAAATTGCAGTGCATGATGCACTCATAACAAAAGGAATTAGTTGCAAATAAGTGCCATTGAGTAAACTATAACTGTTAAGCGATTGTCGATTATTTCGCAGCCAATTCAACTGTTTAGTTGCACAACTAACAATCGAGTAGTGTAACCTCCATATAAGCTATCAAAGAGCGACTAAATAGTTGTGCGATAGTTTAGTTTTTGATGTTTGCACACTCTTATGCTTTACATGCTGTAGTTTGATTTTAGTAATGTGGCTTTTTTCATTTTTTGTGCGACCCCCAGCAGACAAAACGTGTTATTCGTTTTTGAAAAATATTAATATGTATATTACGCTTTGTCCGCAGACACCAAGGTTTCTTACTTAACGTTCAGTAGGTTTTTTCTCAGATTTTTTGACTGCAAATCTTTCATTGATTTGTCTAATCGGGCAGATCTAAGTGCGTGCGACATATCTCATATTTATCGTTATTATGTAAGCCTCAATAATGTTTTAAAAATGATAAGCAATGTGTCAGCTCCACTCGGACTCGGCGTGACAATGTTTGTGACAGTCGCAACTCGGTGGACATTCAAAATGTGCCGCGAACTATATACGCGTGCGCATTGTTGCTTTATTAAATTATAGTGTTTTTTAAAAACATGTCGCCTAATAAAAGAAATTATTCACCGCTCGTTAAACAAGTGAGTATTTTTTATACAATTTGTACGTTGTGATTTTATTCGGATGTTGAAAATAAAACAATAATATTATTTATTTATTTATTTAACACTTAACAAACATTATAAAAGGTATACTAAAACTAAGCTTATTAAACAAAATCTTTGTAAGGGGGCGGCAATATTACCTGTAAGAAAAGTAATCAACTGCACTTTGTTATTGTTAGAGTTTCGTGACGGCGGCGGTGTGTATGAACATAGTGTGTCATGGGTGTGTTATGGGGTTCCCTGCCATCCTGCTGCCGCAGCTGCGCCAGCCCGGCTCCCTGCTCACCGTCGCCAAGGACACTGAGTCATGGATCGGTCAGTTATCTTGACATAGATGAAAAAAACTTTAGACAAGCTTGCTAAAGAATTTAACATACAAGAGAAATCACCGTAAATATTTATGTATTTATATTTTGTAGTAAAAACTATAAATTAAAACAATATCAGATATGGCTAGTTAATTTGGAATCGGGAACGCGGTAATTTCTGTATTTTTTAAGTATTTCAAACACTTAATTCCGTTACAATTGACGCATTTATGTTAAGCATGTTGTAAAAGAGGAGATAAATTTTATAGCATAATCGTTAATTTCGACTATAAAATTTTATCTTCTGCATTAACGATAATAAAATTGACCTTGTGATTGCATGATCCTAATTTATATGCTGTCTTTATATTGAAAAAATATTTTTTCACTGGTTAACTTGGAGTTCTCCCTGACTACAATAAATGAAACATAAGGATGGAAATACTTGCCAAACATAATCATCGATTTAATCTTTTTTAATACTATGAGAGTTTCACGTAATTAATTCTTCAATTAATAAATAATGACTTATTCGCAATCTTTGTTGTTACAGCATCAGTTCATTCAATCAGCATATTGTTGGGGTACTTCCTGACGCCGCCCATCATGGAGCGTCTCGGGCGCAAGGTGGCGCATTACGCTGTCTGCATACCCTTCCTTGTGGGATGGTTCATGATCGTCATGGCGGAGAGTGTACAAGTAAGTCAGCAAAAACAAAGATTACCGTCTACATTTGAAATAACCCACAACACTACAATAAACTTTGTTTATTCTTCCAGACAATAATAATAGGTCGTATCCTGCAAGGTCTGTCTTCAGGGCTGCTAACGACGCTTCGCTCTGTACTCATCGGAGAGTATACTAGTCCACGCAACCGCGGGGCCTTCCTCACCACAATCTCATTGGCACAAGCGTTCGGCATCTTCTTCGTACACCTGGTGGGCTCCTTTCTCAGCTGGCAGCTCACCGCCCTCGTCTGCGCCTTCTTCGCCTACACCAGCTTCATCATGACCATGTTCACCCCGGAGTCACCTAGCTGGCTCGTCGCTCGGGGCAGGTTCGAGGAGTGCAGGGCAGTGTTTCACTGGCTACGCGGCCATGCAGAGGATGACGAGCTCGAAGACATGATAAACGCCAGAATAGCGTACGAGAAAGCTATCATAAGACAAAGATCTTCAAAGGAGAGTCAGTTTGATAAAATCTGGTCAACTATGAAGAAGAAGGAGTTTTACAAACCGATTATTCTGATGATCCACGGGAATATTCTGATGCAGTTTGCAGGTGGCACTACAATGTCGGCTTACTCCACCGTCATAATAAGCCTGCTGATGGGTCCCGTCGCCAACGCCCACTTCTGGATGGTGTTCTTGGATACGCAGAGAATTATCTCGAATAGTGTGGCGGTATACGTCATCAATAGAACGAAGAGAAGAACGATGTTGTTCTCGACGGGCGCGCTGTGCGTCGTCAGCCACTTGGCGATCGCGGCATACGTGTACGCGAGGAACGAGGGGATATTCGTGTACGATGCCATATGGTTGCCGGCACTGCTAATCAACATCCAGTTCTTCACTGTGGCTGTGGGGATGGTGCCGTTGCCTAATGTGATAGCCGGGGAGGTGTTTCCGCTGGAGCACAGGAGTATCTGCGGGAGCATTAGTTTGATGACTGGGGGGAGCTTCATGTTCGTGTCGCTGAAGTCGTTCCCCTACTTGGTGGACGCGAGCGGTCTGCAGGGCACGTACGCGCTGTACGCGGCGCTGCTGACGTACAACCTGGCGGTGATGTGGGCGCTGCTGCCGGAGACGCGCGGCAAGACGCTGCAGCAGATAGAGGAGGAGTTCCGCGGGCGGGCGCTGCGCCCCGAGGAGGCGGAGGCGCGCCGCTCGCTGCAGATGGACCCTGTGGAGGCGTACAAGAGCAAGCTGTCTCTCAGGCGGTGCAGTAGCGCAGTACTGTAGTTGTGATAATGTATGTAAAAGTAATTTTAAGCTAGTCCAAATTTACGAATAAATAATTTTATATTATTTAGTTTTTTTGTAGCGCTAAGTCATTTTTTGACCGACTTCCCAAAAGAAGGAGCTACTCAATTCGTCTGTATGCTCTTTTTTTTCTATTTGTGTTACGGCATAACTCCGCCGCTAGTGGACCGATTTTGATCATTCTTTTTTTATCCGAAAGGTTAATGGTTGCAGGTGGGTCCTATTTTTCCCAAAGACTACGACGTAGTTAAATAGTTTAGCTCAAAATCGCGTGACGAAATTTCGGGTCATTTTATAGTTTCCACTATAGAGGAATGAGGGGTTGAAAAATTAAATGAAAAAAATAAAAGCCAACAGTATTTTTCTATAATTTTCTATATTATTTGGTACATGATATCGTCGGTCTGTCCAACCATACGAGGTCCTGAGCTCCCAGTATTAAAACTACCGTCAGTGCGTCGCGCGTCATCTGTACATCTCGCTCGCACCCGTATAGTTGCACAAACGACTTCTCTTTCTTAACTAGTTTATGTACAGTCGTCAGCCGCACACGCTCCCCGCTTGCGATATACCAACATTTAACATCAGATCAGATACAAGCTATGTGCTCACATTGCAAACGTCTGTACAAGTCACGGACGATCGAAAAGAGACCTTAATAGTTACAAATAAGGTCGCGATCAGTTTGCAGCGTGCGTACATAGTCACAACATTGAAGCAGAGATCAGGCGCGTCGGCAGAGCAGCCGCAGTAACTTAACATAAAAAAATTTAACAGCCATCTTGTTAATAAATAACGCGGTCGATATGCCGATTGTAAGAAAAACTATTATCTGATAATTGTCAATATCAAAAAATGTTAATACGCCAACATTTGTAGGGCCACGAAAAGCGTTCGCACACAAAATACATCGCTAAGTTAAATTTTAATACTATATCACGTCTTAACAAAATAAATTGACCACTACGATCGAAAGTGCGAACTTATATTTGGCTATTAAAAATCGCGTACCAATAATAATTTAATATCAAATAAATGTATTCAAAAGGGTAAAAAAGCGATCGGCATTTCAATCTTAGTACTAACTAGAAGTTTATCTAAAAGCAAATGAAAACTTACACTGTACCCGACGCAATAGAGTTCAAATCGGCTTATACAAACTTGTCATACTACAAATATAAAAAATATACAATATTACACTAACTGGTATAATACAGCACTACCGTAAGTAGCTTCCGAGTAACACCTTAACACGAGCAGAGTCCACGATGAGTCGATACAAAAGCGATATAAACACCAAAAAAACGCGTTAAATCTAAAATTGGACATTATTAAAATATATTTACTCTTTAGTAACTATACATTGAATCGCATGACGACTGAATTATAAGAAAACGTCATACAACATGTATGGAGTTGACGGCGGAGGGGGCGTGGCTTCACCTACACGGAATATTTACAATTTTAATACAAAAACATTAAATCCTGTGCAAGAAACGAAGCCGGGACATTAAACAAAGCTAAATTAGATAATACACTTTAATAACTTAATTCGGACAAAGAAATCTTTAATATCTTTGATTTAAAAACATCTATAGTAATAACTTAGATATGTCTATACAAAAACTTGATCTTATGATTTCAGCAACTTCCCGTAGAAATGTCCCGACTTCGGCTGTACATAACAATTACAATCAAATGAAGCCTAATTCGTGAGAAAATGCTAACTACATAAAAACTTCCAGTTTCTGACTTCAAATTAGTTGAAAAAAATTCATTCAACCTTTGTTCAAGTTAAAATAATATATTTATAAACCGCGATTCACGCGCAACTTTAAACTCACATCAATTTTGTCAATACATTAGTAAATTCATCCATTTTAGATATATTTACAAAAAAAACTACGCAGTTCTAGGTTCCTTAGTCGCAAAAACGTTAATTTAGATTATAATGAACACTTTGCGTACTCGCATTAACCAACACTTAAGTCAAAGCGGGGAAAGTTACTAAACATTCTGTAAGGAACATATAAAATTTACGAAATTACCTTTGCAAGTGCAACTGGAACTCCGATATTAAATTTCTTCTAAAGTAATATTTTATTTAACAAATTGTTACTATAGCGTTTGAAACTTATTTGTTCATTTTACGTTTCGAGAACTCTGTCACATTTTCTACATAAATCACTTTGTTGTAGACATTTAACTATAATTTGACCTACATTCAAAAACAGACAATAACGCATTTCCCTAATCAAGACAAATTTAAGTGAAATCCTTTAACAATATACTTTGTAATTCATTGCTTCTTAACTCATTATAATGTATTGTTTAGTGAGAAATCATATCGGTGATAAATGTGTATTCCGAGTGTTGTTCAGCGTTGATCAAAATTGTTCAGCGCTAGTCAGTGTCCACAGCTTGTGAGTGTTCAGCACTAATCAGGATTCAGCGCTGTTTACTGTACAGCGCTAGTCACTGTTCAGTCCTGATCAGTGTTTAGCGCTGGTCAGTATTCAGCGCTGTACAGTACTGAGCGCTGTTTACTGTACAGCACTAGTCAGTGTTCAGCGCTGGTCAGTGTTCAACGCTAGTCAGTATTCAGCGCTGTTCGGTGTTCAGTGCTGGTCAGTGTACAGCGCTAGATAGTGTTCAGTGCCAGTCAGTGTTCAGCGTGTGTCGCGGGCGCAGGCGCCGCAGACGTAGTCGTCGTCTTCTCGCAGCGCGGCGCGGCTGAGGCCGACGCAGTGCATGTGGAACCATTGATCACAACCGCCGTCGCACTGCACCCAGTCCACCTCCTTGCCTGAAACAGAGTATATACATATATATAAGAATTGTCCATTAATCACTTGATGGTGAAACAACAATTGAACCTCCACCACTCCTCTCTTGTAATTATTTTAACTACCACTAACTGATGCTATTGGAATTACGTTATCACTCACAAATACATGTGATGTCTTATTTTGGCTTCTCTCCCCCATTTGAGGAAACTGTACGCTAAAGTATTAATATAGTAAAGCAGAGCTGCAGTTACCTGTGGGCCTGAGGCAGTTGTCCGCGGCGCAGTCCTCGTCGGAGGAGGCGGAGGAGAGCGAGGAGGTGCTGCTGCGGCGCGCCGCCCCGCTGCCGCCCGCCGCGCCCGCGCCCGCGCCGCCGGCCGCCGCCGCGCCGGCGCGCTGCCCCGCGCGGGGCTGGCGCGCGTGCTTGCCGCGCGTGGAGCCCGCCAGCCCGCGCTTGCGCCGCTCCTGCCGCGCCATGTAGTGCTTCCTCATCATCAGACCGGACCCTGACGACATGCCCTAAGGAAACAACACGATATTTAGATTACAGTCGATATTTAGTGACTTACGTAATAAATTGCTTTAAATTGTATATGTTACTTTACCTGTTTTCTATTTAAGTAATTCGTGGTCGTAGCCGAGCCTCGTTTTATCGTTGTCTTTGTTGCTGTTGGTCCTGGAAACAAACAATTAACTATTGTATGACCTGCATTGAATTTATCTGTAGGTTTGTTGTGCGTGTGTGTGTGTGTGTGTGTGTGTGTGTACCGTGGTGCGGGCGCGTGCGCTTGAGCTGGCGGTGCGGGCGCGGCGCGCGCTGCGGGCGCTTGCGGCGGCCGGCGTCCAGCACGCGCGCGCTGCGCCGCCCCTCCGCGCCGCGCGCCGCCACCACCGCGCTCCACACCTGCCTCTGCTCCTCCAGCCGCACCTGGACAACACACATATTACATTTTCCTTTACACACTTTTCTTAATAGACAAGGATGGGACGGAAAAGTTGATTTGTTTACAGCGGAGACATATAGGAAGGGTAAATATCCTTTCTATGTGCATTACCGCTTCCATCGATTAGGGGTAGGCAATATATCTGAAATTGAGGGTATCTATAGGCAGTCGCTTCGCATTTTCAGCGGATTCAGAAAGCCACTTGCTCGTTTGCTACCTTCTAACACATAAAAAAGTAGAATCTTTGTCATTCGACTCTCAACCCAATCACAAGAACCACTTGTTTTCATCTCCAGGTTACGAACATCAGGGACTTACTTTAAGTCACTTCGTATACCTAGACGTGCTATTATATCTCACCTCTAATAAGTCTCCCTCCAGCATGAGGTCCTCCAGCTTGTGCAGCATGCCGGGCGAGAGGCGCGCGCTGGGCGAGCGCGGCGTCGCGCTGTACGCGTGCTCCACGCTCGCTGACGACCTGAACACACACCAGGTTTAGAAACTGTTTAGTAAGTATCATGGGCTATGACTTATTTTTTAATTGCACGCGGGCGAAGTCGCCACCAGCATGATCAGTATAGTAAGTACCTCGAGGCGTGCGAGTGCGTGCCGCTGTCCCGCCTGTGGTCGGGCAGGTGTGCGTGGTGGGGGTGGGGGTGTGGCAGCGCGGCCAGCAGCGCGCGCGCCGCGTCCTGCCACGCCATGGCGCGCTCCGTGACGCACTGCAGCGCCTCGCCCTCCGCCAGCCGCACCGGCAGCTTCTGCAGCCACACCTGACACACGACAACATTCAACACCGCGCATACTAACACTTCATTTATCTACACAATTAAAATAATGGAGAACTATTCAAATTGTAACAGTTAAATGACTGTAGGTAAAGTTCCTACCAGCAGTGCCAGTATGCGATGAAGGCGGGGCCGCTTCGTGCGTGTGCAGTCGGGGCAGAGGAACTTCTGCTCCGTTGCCTCCCCGCGCTCCGCCCCACGCTCCGCCCCGCGTTCTGCCCCACGTTCTGCACCGCGTTCTGCCCCGCGCTCCGGTGACGAGTCGCGATCCTCCGCCGCAGACGACACACACGACGCTACACGGAAAATGTGTTGAACATTAACATAAAACGTCTAGAGCATTCCATAGACAAAGTTGAAATTTAGAATAAAACATACCATGAAACCAATCCTTGCAGAGTTCGCATTGCGACATAACGCCGTACTGTCGCTTCTGGCATATACAGAATGTAACTCCGGCGGTCGGCGCTGCGCGGACTTCTTTGCGCATATTTTTAGCCCTAAAAAAAGATACAATTAATATTTGGGTCGATATAGCCGATAAATGAAATGTGTGTATTGTGTTAGTTACCTGAGTTCTTTGATAGCTGCTAGTTCCCTGTGCTCGGCCTGCTTGAAGGCGGCGACGATCTCCGTGGGCGTGGCGTCCTCGCTGAAGTGCTGCAGCAGCGCGCCCGCGCCCGCCTCCGCCTCGCGGCCCCGCCGCCGCGCCCCGCCCCCCGCCTCCGTGCGCGGCGACAGCGCCTCCAGCAGGCTGTACGGCCAGTTCTAAATAACAGAATTAAAATTAAAACTCCTTATTAGTGTAAAACAACAATCACGCAGAAAACACGCGTATGGTGGAGACAAAATTTTAGTCGCCCCCTTTCCTTGACAAGAACGAGAAGGAGAAATAGATATGACTGAGATGAAGATGCATAGGTAAGGGAAACATCCTCTTTCCGTGTGTCCCTACTCCGATAGATAAAAGTTAATCAACAATATTTAGAAAATGTCTTTGGGCAACGATATCTTCGATATTTCGCAATTCAAATGGCTTTTTGATCGCTTGTCACATAAAAATACTCTATGAATGTGTCTGTAAGAGAAAAAGTCTTCATATTCCGTCGTCTGTCGTTTGTGGTTGTATTAGTTGCGGTACCTTCTTGAGGAACATGTCTGCGGCGCCGCGCTTCCACTCGCGCGCGGAGTGCAGCGCGGCGGCCAGCTGGCTCTTCTCGTACAGCGCCAGCGGGATCTGCGCGCCGCGCCGCGCCAGCGCCTCCACGCTGTGCAGGTACGGGTACAGCTCCTTCGACTGCATCTCCTCCACCTGCACATTCAATATGTATCCAACATCACAAATGATGAGGCCATGCTTAAACTTTAAATTTTGTTAAGTTTTTGACGTATCGAATCGTAAGTGGCGTATTAGCACCATTTTATAAGAAACTAAATTTTTGAGATTTAATTCAATATTCGGTCGTTAATATAAGGGTGTTTCTATAATAAACTTTACTTCAATCGGTGTTTTACGGAATATCTCTATTTTTTTGTTTTAATCAATAATTTTAAATTTCAAATTTAATATTTAAATGTTTCTTAGGTAAATTTTATTGATACAATTATTTATTTAGTGTGTGAGGTGTACCTTGGCGAGCCAGTCCCTGGCGTGCTGCACGGCCTGGTGCAGCGCGTGGTGCGAGGGCAGCGCGGCCTCGATGTCGTCGCCCTCCGCCAGCAGCTGCTCCAGCTCGGCCAGGCTGGTGTGCGCCTCGCCCCCGCCCCCGGCACCGCCCTCGCCACGCCCCTCGCACAGCACCGCCTGCGCGCGCGCCTCCCACTCCTCCACTTGAGCTAGAAACATATTGAGATTAAATTAGTATAATATACTAAAAAAAATTAGAAAACAACAAATTAAACAATCTTACTTGCTAATTTCTATGAATGGTTGTTCGTTAAAAGATATATCGGTTACGGCTCAGCGGATCTCGATAAAATTTGACAGATGTAGAACTTAGACTAAAAGAAATCCTATTTAGTTTATTTTAATTCTGGATGTAATCGCGGTTTAAAAGATAGGTCGAATATAAGTAGCTGTTGCCAAAACAAAATTAAACAGCATATATGTCCTTCCAGACTGTTCTACATCTGTGTCAAATTTCATCACCACCTGTTAATTCACTCAGAAAATACGCATTTATAATATTAGTAAGATAAAACGGTAATCATAAAAGTGCCTTTTAAATCTATAATTAAGTAAGACACAGTTCGAGGTGTACCTCTCAGTTTGTAGAGCGCCGCCCGCTCCTGCTCGACGCGGCGGTGAGGCAGCACGCTGTCGGCGTCGCGCAGCAGGCGCGCCAGCACGGCCGGCGTCAGCGCGGCGCAGTCCTCGCGCAGCGCGCGCGCCTCCGCCAGCCAGCGCGCCTGCGCCAGCCGCCCCTGCGCGCCGCCCAGCTGCGGCAGCACGATGCACAGCCGGCACCCCAGCTCCACCACCTGCACACACACAATAATTTATTAAAATGTAAAAATAATGGCCTTTTATTCTGATCCTCTTACAAAATTATTGAAAACTTAAAATACTACTACCATACAGCTACTTTCTACATGTATTATTCTAGAATTTGAATCTTTTTTTATATTCGTAGATTTGTTTGCCATACGACATAGGCCTTGTTCAACCTTTTCCACTCGTTTCTTTCTCGAGCCACCCAACTCTGTTACTTATATCTACTGTTTACTGAAGAAATGGGGCAAAGTGGACTGTGGGCGGGTATTGTAAATCCTCTCCTTCAAGCTCCAATTGTCAATATACACGTACCTCCTCCAGTTCCCTGACGGTGTTTGCATCCACTTCATCCAGTTCTTTGCTGAGCAGTTCTGTCGCTCGGTCTTCGAACTCCTCGGTCTGTCTTAAAACTTCTTTTACCGCTGAACCTGATAAAAAACATAATAATATTAAAAATGCGAAAGTTTAGATGGATGGAGGTTTGTTAGAGTTTGTACCCTAAACGGCTGAACAAATTTTGATGAAATTTGGTATAGATGTAGACCATAGTCTAGGAGAACACATAGGCTACTTACATTTTTTTAATTCCACGCGGTCAGTACCGCAAGCGAAAACTAGTTGCAATTATTTAGGCCATCCATTCAGTAAGCGTTGTTTAATAACTACTACTGTTACTAAGCGGATACTTTGGGTAGTCTTACCTTCAGGCAGCACGCAGGCGAGGCCGTCTATCTCAGCAGCGAATAGCGTGAGCTCGTGTATAGTGAGCCTATACTTGGGGTCGTGGTGTCGCGTGCGCGTGCGCATCTTGTTCAGGTCTAGCTGCTGGATCACGGAGGCGCATTTCTCCGCATCCTCTATCGCCGTCTCCAGAGCTCGCACCAGCTCCGTCTTATGCATCTTAACATTATCAAGAGTTTGTTAAATTTTGTGGTTAGAAAAGTGAATGCAAATAATGTTTTTGCTATTTTCTTTCTTTTTGCTAGTTTCTTTGGTGTGTTGGCCGTGGCTTTGGTTATCCATCACACAGGGTAATGTTTGGGTCCTAGTTTGGACACCGGAGGACTGGTGTCCAAAGGAGAAATAAAGTTATTATAAAGAGGAAAGATTTGTATTTTCGTATGTACTGAAACAACTAAAAAATTCTTTTACCCTTAAAAAGCTACATAGGCTACATTTTTTTTATTTGACGCAGGCGAAGTCACGAGCAACCGCTAGTGTGTAGGGCGGGTGTTGTGTACCTTGAGTTCGTGTGCGCGGCGCAGGTGAGCGCGCAGGCCGTCCAGGTCGCAGGTCTTGGGCGTGTCGGGGTCCAGCGCGTTCTGCACCGCCTCCGCCCACTCGCGGAACAGCTCCGACTTCTTCTTCAGCTTGTCCAGCATCGCCGGCAGCTCGTCCAGGGTGTACCGATACCTGCACCAACACTTTCATATTACACTAGCTGTTGATCCGGAACACATAAAAACCTTCTAATATTGTTTTCGTTGTGGAAAACTTGGTTGCAAATGTCAAAATTCAAATGATCACAAAAATCTTGCTTGTTGGCATAAGCTTGTAGTTTTATGCCTTTCTCGCAAGCCATTACTTTTTTACAACTTACCAACCCCTCAAGTTTAATAGAGTGTAAATATACAACCTAAACTGTCTTGAATTGTAAGGTTTTTTATTACAGAGTTCTACAAACGTTCTACATAACAAATAGAAATAGGTAGTAGGTAGGCACGATAGGGAGGAGTGGAAGCGAGTGGGCGGAGCAAGTAGGAGGAGTTAGAGGACAAGTGTGTGGTAGTGGGTGGCAGCAGACCTGAGCTTGTGGCTTGGCGGCGGGCAGGCGCAGAGCTGCGCGTAGTGGCGCAGGCAGGCGACGTGCGGCGTGCAGGCGCAGGTGACGCAGGACAGGAAGCACGTGGTCTTGCACAGCTGGCACTGCCGCTCGTCGTCCGGCAGCAGCTCGAACGCCTCGCGCTCCGCCTCCGTCACGCCCTGGCACAACACACATTACACATTACACAACTGCGTACTGCCTAGCCTAAATTATGGTGAGTATTCAAAAATCTTGCAACGTACCATCAGCGAAAATAATCAAAAATATATGTGAAGTCAAACCGCTGAGCCTGTATAGGCTACAAGTCCCCTCAGTAGGGACGTATAGTGGGCTGGTTATTTTTGCAATGTGTATTAAAGGAAATTTGAAAGAATCGATTGTCATGATAAATCACATAAACAAATTTAAAACCGAATGTGGGTACAAAGGTTGATGAGTTTAGATTTATAACGTGAAAGAGATTCAGATAGAACAGATAATAGATATACTGAGACGATCCACCTAGTCAATAGCGTGGACGTGATTTCAGCATCTTTTTACATGAATAGAGGGGGGAGGACTAGGGGGGCGGGCTATGAGTGTAGCGCAGAGCACTCACCCAGTCCAGCAAGCCCTTGCGCAGCTTGCGCTCGTCGTGCAGCATGGTGCGCATGTCGCGGTAGGCGGCCAGCGCCACCGTGAGGCTGAGCGCGTCCGCCTCCAGCGCCATCTTGCACACCAGCTCGTCGTGCGAGAACACGCAGTAGCGCCGCAGCGTCGAGTAGTGCAGGATGCACTCGCGCCCCATCTTCAGCTGCACACGACCACACTTTGTACTCCTCGCCACTCCATTCACTTGCCACGACGGGGACAACAGTACCCTTACATCCGACGTGCCAACTCAAACCTCGGTGTTACTTTGTTTCACTTGTACAGTCAGGAAATCTGACAGTGTTGTACTAAAATAGTCATTTGAATGTTTCGTACACATTGAGATAGCACGGAATAAATACCAGCAGGCCACAACTTAAAAATGTACGCAAACGAAGTTTGTCTTTTTGCAAGCCAAAAGGCAATTATTTTATAAATGTAACACCGTGTATTTCCGCAACTGTACATAACATTACTAAAACTTTTTTTAATGTCACCACCATTTACATCCGTTTTGTAGTCATTTCCCTTCTGCTGCAAGTAACTCATTTCAATCACTATTTGGAGTTATTTATATTTACCATGTGTAATTTACCTAACACATATATAAACACTGTTTACCATCCATTTGTAGCAGTTTGGCCTCGCATTTGTAGAAGGCGGATATAATGCCGACAGCCGATTACTGTAACAAGTTCCCGGCGTCAGTTTGCCGTCCGAATACGTTGTTACTTTTGGACATACGGTTCCATGTAGCTTTTTACCTAACTTACTTGAATATTTTAAGGGGGTGACTGATAATAATGTGGGAGGTGACTCACCCAGTCAGCAGGGGTGAAGTTGACAGCCTCCGCGAAGTTGTACCCCTGGTTGAACCCGGCGTGGTAGGCGCGCGGGAATGTTATAACAAACTCGCCCGCGTGTTGATCCGTCCTACATACAAAACATTAATAATACTTAGTTGTAACATGTACGAGAAAGGGAAGAGGGCTCCTTAAATATATAAGGAGCCAAGGCAACGTTGATGCTCTAATAACTGAGTTTACAATAAAAAAATCTTTTTTATTATTACATCTTCGCCGATTTCGCCGAAATAGCGAGGTCACCGCTGTCTCTGCAACTAAAAATCCGTTGTCTACTTTTAATTGTCGATGGAGGGAACTCACAGAAAGAGAAAGCGTCTCATTCCTCTCCAAATCTACTTCCCATTCCCAGCGTTTACTTGTATGATGATGGAAGGGGGTAACAGGGGTAAAAATGGAATAGTATTAAAGATGCATGTCTACCTGTAGACAGGAACTCCTGCCTTCATGAGAATGTTGGGGTTCATGATGGTGACGAGCTGGTGCAGCAGGTCGGGCTGCAGCTGGAACAGCTCGGGCGCCTCCGCCTTCATGGCGGCCTCGAACTGCTCCGCCTTGCAGCCCGGCACGCCGTACCACGTCTTGGCCTCGCCCCAGTGCAGGTAGTTGATGGAGTAGCTCCAGTGGTCCTCGTTGTGCCAGCAGAACGTCGCGAAGCACATGCCCACGTACAGCCACGGGATCTGGTACAGCGACAAATGTTACTAAATATTTCCGAAACACCAGCGATTTCGACATGGTAAAAAAAACATAAGTACATCGATGCTAAATTACGTTGACATCTGTTTAGTCGTTTAGGCTGTAAATTACAATATAAGTCCATTTATCCATCGAAATTTTTGCGTGTATAAGAATGTTGCTTGTTACAAAACCCTTCATATAAATGAAGCAAACATTTTTACACGTTAAACGTGATCTTACAACTTGGACCGCTCAAGTGGGCGTGGTTTGCGTTGTGTGGGAGTGGTCTGTATACTTAGAGGCGTGGTCTGTGTTAATGGTGTTCGTAGTTTCTGGTAGGTGTTACCTTCATGCCGGAGATGTCAGCGTTGATGTGTCCGAGCACGGAGCCGTCCAGCACGGGCAGGTTGTTGAGGTTCCAGCTGGAGTCCGCGTACTGCTGCTCGCCGGGGTACAGGTGCGCGCTGGACTTCGTCGGGAAACCTGACATAACAAACTTAGCATTACTATACAAACAGATGCAGGATATGTCTTTTTTAAGCAAATAAAAATAACAATTCCTGTTAAAATTAAATGTATTAAACTTATTAACTATCGTTTTTTTATAATTCTGCATTTGTAATTGGTTTCTTACAATCAATTCCAACATTTTAGTTTTCTCTATGAAAAAACTGTCATTTTTACCTGACCGTCTCATTACAGGCTAAAACACGTCTCCGAACGGCTCGTTTAGCTGTAGGTATAACTCCGCAAACCAGGTTATATCACCTTTGCTGGAATATTACCTCATATTCCTTTGAATACTTTGAGCTACAGATTTACTTAAAATATACAAGTTTAATCTAAGTAGTGTAGTGTGGTCTCACCGGAGCCGTGGTCCATGGAGTGAAGGTCCGCGCCATACTCCACGGTTACGTCCTCGTCTATTGAGGAGACCACGCGCCAGAATTCCCTCTCCACAGTCGATGTCGGCACCATCTATACAAAACACGATTATTTTATTGAAAATACATATTTGATAAGAATTTTTATGTATTTACGTTATATAATAATACTCAAGACGACTTTTATCACTTCGATTAATATAAAAACAGATTTTGAATTGAATAAAAAAAAAACAAAAGTAGTCTATGTGTTCTTTTAGATTTAGTTCTACATGTATCAAAAATAATCGAAATTTAAGCGGTTTTGGAGATAGGTATGTCCCGCAAGTATGTCAGCGTGGAATTAAAAAAAATAAACAAGTAACCTACATGTTCTTCCAGACTATACTTTACGTCTATGCGTAACCTAGTTAGGTCCAAACATTGACATGTATAAGATAAGTAAGAAGTACATCTGTACTGGTGTGGAGTGCAGGAGTACTGACGTGCACGGGCATGTTGAAGTAGTCGGACTTGAACTGGTCGGCCATCTCGCCGAACTGCTGCAGCGTGTACTCGCGCGAGGCCTGCTCGAAGCCGAAGGCCTCCGCGGGCTTGGCCACCTCCTCCGCCAGGCACACGGGGCAGCGCCAGTCGCCCTTGGGCACGTCGGCCAGCGGCGGCACCAGGCAGAACGTGTGGTACGAGTCGTCGCAGCCGTCGCACAGCAGCATCTGCTCCTCCACGTCGCCGCGCCCGCACACGTGGCACATGTACTTCGCCAGCTGTACACACACACTATTATACACACAACTGGCTGGTGCTCGCGACTTCATCTGCGAAGTACTCAGTGATACCGTAGCTTTTTAATAGTGGAAGAATTTTTGAAATCGGCCCAGTAGTTTTTAAGTTATTATAATACATACAAAAATACAAATCTTTCGTCTTTATAATGTTTTTGTTGTAAGGGATTTTTACTCAAAGTGAACCACCATGAAGTGTCCTGGCTGAACTTAACCAGCTAAAAGTCATTATTCAATTTGCACTATAGACTCTTTGCTCCACAATATTATAAGCATCAAGTAGGTAGGTTGACTAATTTATTTGATTTAAAACTAGAAAAGAAAAAATATTTTTAATGGTTCCCACAGCTTTCAATACAGTTAAGTCATATACTAGTATTTTAAATGTAATGTTTGTGTTTATGTTGTGTTGTGTTGTCATGTTGTGTTGTGTTGTGTTGTCATGTTGTGTTGTGTTGAGCACGTACCGGGTCGTCAGGGTTGTGTGGGTGGTGCGGGAGGCGCGAGGGCGCGGGCGCGGGCGCGGGGGCGGGGGCGGGCGTCACCGACACCGTCATGTTGCTGAGGCGGTGCTCCCGCAGCCGCCGCGAGCGCCCCACGCCGCAGCTGCCGCCCGACATCCACTTGTTCTCACGAGGACCTGCACCATGCACACGACATACATCAATACAGCACATCAGTTTGTGTAATAAAATGCTATTTAAAATCACTTGTTAATTACATTAAATGATATTGTTGATGTATTTAATCAACAATCAATATGTCACAATTCAAAGTTTTAGGTTATCTATCAACTGTCATCTGTTAATCAAATTAAAAATTAATGAAGAAATATTCTAGCGTTTAAATTATATCTAATTTCTAGTAAAAATTGGAAAATATCACATTACTTCCTTCCGGCAACTGAAATACCGATATTTAAATTATCATTGTTATAAACCATGTTAAATCACATTATAATCCCGTCTTGATACTTGGGGATGTGTAATGATTAGTTCAACAGCCACTTAGTCTGGATTTCTCAAAATTACAACTACATTACGGCATTCTCTTAGTAACTATCACATACTTTTTGTACTAGGGTAATTAACAAATTCTTGTACCGATCAATATAAAGAAAGAAAAATAATACTAGTATATGATTTAGTAACTAGAAATAGAGAAAGAGAGGAATAGAGGTAGAACAAAAAAGAATTACTTTTCCATCTGTAACAGAATTGTATAAATAATAAATATAAATTCATAACTCACTCCTCCTGGTCTCGCTGGCATTCTCATCCTTGCTGGGCGTGCGCAGCTTCCTGTCTGCGTGCGCGTGCGCGTGCGCCGCGAGGTCCGGCAGCGCGCCCTCCGTGCGGCTGCCCTCCGCCTCCGCCTCGGGCTCCGCGCTCTTGTAGCGCCGCGCGGGGGGCGGAGTCGCCGCCGGGCACTTGCTGTTGGAGCGGCTGCGCGCGCCGCCCGCCTTCTCCGGCGTCGCCTCTTGTTTCACTTCGATTTTCTAAAGATTTCAAAAAAACTTGTATATCTCCAATAGTTAATGATATAGTAAAATAGTCTTTTCTATTTTTATTTCAGCTGTAACTGATATTTATAATTGAAATTTAGTTGACCCCGACACAAATGTTAGATCAGAAGTCAAGTTTGTGTAGAAAGATCTTAATATAGATTTTTATTTATTTGCGGCCTATACATTCATGAACTACTGACAAAAAACAATACAAACTTTATTTAATATAATTTAGTACAAAAATTAAGAGAAAAGTAAGGTTCTACAATTTCTACAGTTGTCCAATATTTTGGCAGCTCGAACCATCATAGGCATATAAGCAATGCATTACACAGATATCCTTGACCTGGCAAAATGTTTGAAAAGAACTTTACAAATTACTTACACAACTATTTTTATTTAATTATATACAAATACTTACCGTTTCCTTGTTATCTCCAACAGCACCACTGTTCTTGAAGACATCGTAGGGATAAAGGATGCGTTCATAGTGATTCTTCAGTATGGAGCCGATGCCCTTGCCCTGAGGGTGTCCCATACGACGCGCTATTTTGGACCACTTGCGCTCCGCAGAGCACACCTCGAAGCCACCTACACAATTTGTCTATTATAGCTGCAACTCAATACCCTAGAGCCCTAGACTATACTTAGTTCGTAAATGGATAGGTTTTTGACATACCTCTGCTTGTTGCAAGTCATATAAGGTGAGGTTTATTGTTAATTATTAATAGAACTATATTTGTGATTTTTAAACAATTAGAAATTACAACCAATTATAAAACTTATAGACATTTAGATTAAGTTTTAAATACTGTTTGATTCTAAGATTATTGATTCATCAATCAGTAACAAAATATAAAACAAAATAGCTAAAGATTACAGAGTATTCTTGTGTCTTCTTGTATTGATACAGCAGAAATTACTCTGCCACTTCACTAGCTGTACACCTTTGGTATTTTCAAGTTACTTAGACAAAAAAATTATAAGAAAATAAAATTTTTATTGAATTACCAAGAATTTAAATCTACTTTAAACTAGAAATAAACTTGACACTGGCCCAATCCGCTGAGGGAGAGCCATAAACAAGAAATAGAATAGAAATAAACGTATGTAATTTAGAAAATCAATATTTATATTCATGATTTTTTTTCTACTAACAATATCTAATAGAAAAGGTGTAATAAAAATCCATATAACTGTACATGATGTTACTAACCCGCTTCTTTAACAATTTTATGTAATGCGTAAAGATCTAGTGGCTTGCGTTCCACCGTTGGGATCTTGAGCACAGATCCCTGCAGCTCCCAGAACTTGATAATCTGGTCCAGGAAGTTGAGTTTCACGCGAGTTATCGCCTGCGAGAGCAAAAAATAACCAACATTAAGTTAAAAAACTCATTTCCGACACCTAAATACAGTCTGTAATGGTTTCTAAGAGTAGCATTTAATACAGATTAAGTGAATAATGAGCGACTCTGAGTACCATCATCAAAGTATTAAATCACTAGCTTTCGCCCGCGACTCCGTCCGCGTCGAATGAAAAACAAAAGTAAGTAGCATATATGTTCTTCCAGGCCATCTTCTAAATCTGTACCAAATGTCATTGAAATCCGTTCAACCGTTTAGGCTACAAACTCTAACATCCATCCATCTAAACTTCCGCATTTATAACATTAGAATGTTTATTGAATTTTCTGATACCTAGAACTTAATACGATTATCTTAACAATATCTTTTATTTGATTCATGTTAATATCCATTACCAAAATTGTTAGCAAATCACATTGCTATTATATATAAACATTAAATATGTCCATTTGATGTCAGTAAACCAATTTTGATAATTGATCAAGTCACTAGGCTATTTGCTTGATGAGAATTGAATTAATAATTTGGGACAGTATTAGTAATCGAATGGAAATTAATTTGACAAGGACACACTTTACTAAATAATATCAAATCTATATCAATACATATAATAAAATTGGAATAACTGTATGTAATATCAAGAGAATAATTCCTGATACCCTGAAAATGATGTATTTGCATTGTATTAAAAAGTTTTCTGTCTTTCCGTCCACAAGCCGCGTTTATTCCGGATAATCTCTGAAACGGCTAGGTATATTTCGACCGGACTTTCACTAAAGGGTAGCTGACATAGACGGGCATATTTTTATCTCGGAAAGAGTTACGATTCCCGCGGGATTTTTACTCGATAATTTTACGATTTAACATATCATTGAATTTTGTTTTTCATAGTTCGTAATATTGCGCGGACGAAGTCGTGGACAACAGCTAGTTACACTACAAACACGTGTGTTTAAATATAGGTAAATACAGATGAAAATATGTAACTTTAAAATGCAAAAAAAAGCCATACATTTTTCCTTATACAATATCCTGCCATTATACTATCCTTCTTTTATAAATATTGCAATACTAACAGATAAAAAAAAAATGGTACGCAGTTAGAAGCTTATTGAAATATTTTCATCTTACCTCTAATTCATTTAATCGCTGTATCCGAGGTGTGAAACGTAATCTGTCCACATCCACTGCAAACGGAGGCTGCCAGTGCTGTAACAAATTATAATAACATTTTATTGTAGATAAGATATATGTAAACATTTGTAATGTAAAATCAGCCCTTATCTGGCCCAGGTATTTCTGTCAGAAAATGTGTGTAACCTACTTAGACATATACAAGACAAACAAAATCTACACAAGTATAGACTAACAAGTTATGTGACCATAAGTAAAACTTAAATCATAATACTTCATTTAAGCTCTTCTTTTATGCAAATTTATATCCATGTAAGTTTTACATATGTTTAGTGAACCCAAACAATAGCAGCCACTATATCATTGGGGTAGAAACATTTTTGTTTAACTACATACAATCAAGAAACTTTAAACACTGCTGTTATTTATTTTGACTTAAACCAGGTTAGATGAATTTTATCAGTCAAACCTATAGTTTCTATGAAGTTACATTACTCCCAAAAACAATATTCTGCCATCGTTTAGCAAACATTATCAGACTGTGCTCCACTAATAACAATGAATATTAAAAATTGGCTGTTTCTATCAATTGTAATCTAGAGCTCAGTTGTAATTAAGATAAGTTTCTTTCTATATCAGATTATCAATCTACAAATAGATAATAGTAAACTTGGTGGTATAGAGCGTATTTTGCAGTTTTAGATTTTAATCTGTGCATGTTTGAGCAGCCACACACCTTTGACTAAACTGTCAACAGCAGTTGTGCTGTGCGATTGTCTATTGTTTCACTGACAACTCAACTGTTTAGTTGCACAACTAAAAATCAAGTAGTGTGCACACCTTCATATAAGTTCAATGTGGGACTAAACAGTTGTGCGATAGTTTAGTTTGAGGTATGCACACACTCTTAAGGTTTTTACTATACAAATTCTATGTAAAAAATATTAAACAGATTTTGCCAAGAATAAATCGCAAAATTACATTTTTTAACTACCAAAAGAATTAACAAGTGTTTGAACACAATACCATCTGATGTATAACAGTAAGTGGTTGTAAAATGGTTCATTTAGGGCCTGTCCCACCACTGGGTGATAGCTCAGATAGCTTAAAAAGGATATCACTCTCCGAAAAAGTAACAAAACGCGAATATCCATCTCATGTTATATACATTGTATTGTTATCAGACAATTTACAATTTGGTGGGACAGGCCCTAAGTATAGTAAAGAAAGATAACACAATGTCATATACATACAAATAAGTTAGCGAAATGCATTATAAGTCAATAGGTTAACATAACTATCACAAGGTTATTGAACCAACTTTAATATTTTGATAAAATTTTCACAATCAATATATTAAATTATTTATCTTTGTTTTAAAAATTGTAAGATATAAGATTTTTTAATAATTACGTTATACTATTTACAAAGAAAACAATAATAGCCTTACAAATAAACACAGTATAAAGTTAAACTTAGGAACAAACTAAGTATAAGCATAATTTGTACTAATATTCGCTTATACTCAGTTTATTCCTATGTTTAACTTTTTACTGTATTTATTTGTAAGGGTAATAGTGTTCAAATATATAAGAACTTGTATAAGCTTAGATACCATAACAGCCTAATGAGAGACCATTACAATTAAAATATCACTATTAAATGATAATTATTGCATAGTACAATAACAATACTATTGTAAACATAAATTTAAAACATGTAGAAGTTTCGACTTCATGGTAACACTACAATAGTCTTAAAAGGCAAGGTACAGCAAGACTTTAACCCTAGATTAAATGACATTTGACTATCCACAAAATGTTATAAATGTGTGTGGAACTAACAATAACTTGCAACATAACACATTTCTATACATTTTGACACATTTTAAAGATACTATTAGTGATATTGCTAATTAAAAGTATTTTTAAGCAATAAGATACAATCAGTAGAAACTCACATTTTATTAGATTAGGTAATTCAGTTAGTTACATTATGAATGGATTTTACAAAGATTTGAATTTAACAATAATACAATATTGATATAAATGTGTAATTCTTTGACATGTGGCATTATATTTTGTCTTTATGTATTTTCCTAACCAAAAATCATATTTTATTATTTAATGAATATGTATATGTATAGTTTTAAAATGGATGTATTTGGACATAGAAGTGTTTTAATTAATTGAATTATGCACATTTTCTAACAATAAAAAAATGTTGTTAAAGGTAATTTTTTTGTATGAATGACTTTAACACATAGTTTAAGGTCATTGCACTTGGTTTAAATATATAAATAGGAAAAATATTTGATGACCTATCAGAGTTATGCAATTTTTATGTTGTCAATACACAAGTTTGAGAAAGCATTTGGTATGGATTTAGTGCACAAACCAAAGTTGGCAGTTTGAAGGCAAGCCAAACAGATTTAAAATTATTTAAATAGTCCTTCACAAAAGGTACAAGCAAATGTATTCAGAATAATAATATGTGCTATATGTTATATGGACAAATGCAAATAATTTCAGCTCCAATATGCATTGTTCCATCACAAAGAGAATGCTTTATTTTTGCAACTTTTTGCGAAAATTTATAGAGATATTGTGTATAGAGTTGTCATTACAGTTAGTTACGACAAAAAACTCGCAAGAGTTATTTTTTATCTAAGTGTGGTAGGCAGGAGGGCACGACACAAAATGGCAACCACTGTTTCAACAATATGCGAGTGCATTCGTCACTAATTAAACGCAGTGCATAGCTAAATAACCACTATAAGGATACCTTGACACGTGTTATTTTGCTTTCAGCGATAAAACCAAAAAGAACAAAACCATTAATTACGAACAACCAGTTACTTCTGTTGCATCACAAGACGTTTCCTAGCGTGTACCATTAGGGTTAGAAAATCATAAATTGCAGCTCAAATCCTAACAAATAATGACTAACTGGCCCTAAAACTGTAAAATTTGTGTGTCGATGACAAAGAAATGCACTTACTGCTGGGGGCTTGATCTTACAAATCCCTGACTTCTCCGCGATGGGCCTTATTTTGCTGATGTACGCCAGTGGGTCCAAAAACTCTTCAGGCGTTGGCTCGAAGACTGGCGCCTCCGGAGGTACAGTGAAGGTGAAATTATCAGGTTTCATGGGGGACGCCGAGTCCCCCATACTAACTTCGACATTAGCTTCGTCACATTTTCCCATTTTTGAGAAAAACCTATGCAGTTCTCACTATTTTAACTACAACTAACACTTTAACATTATCAGATGTTAAGGAATGAATAATGCACGTCCGCAAAGAAATAGAAGCAATAGAATTGTTCTTTCCATAAGGAATCTCGACAAGATAATAATTGAAATTATCACCAACAAATAACAGAGTTCACTTGCACGTCCGCCATGCGAAATTGAACTTTCGAAACTCCGGTCTTGCCATATCAAAGGCCCTAATTTTTTCCGCAAGTCAAAATTAGGCCATTAAAAACTCTTCTCATCTTCCATTCATAATGCTACTTTACAATAAAATAAAGAAGCTTAAAGAAATCATATTCCTTGTTTAATCTTGAAACTTTGACTGAAAAATTACAGTATTCTGTGGGTATTTTTATTTCAGAGTTAATTTCTGGAAATGTTACAAATGTTTAAAAATCAAACTAAACTGAGACCTATAAGAATTTAGGCGTTTCAGTCATTACTTAAATACACATAATAGCTATTAAAATACTATTACCTGAAATTCCAAAAATCTCATTGCAAATAATGGAAAATGTAACAAATGTGAAAAAATAGGTTAACCTCTGAGATGCTACTTTGAAAGAATTAATTAACAGATTCGAGTTTCTATTGATTTATTGTACTAGAATAGTTTTGCTGTTTTATAATGAATGCAAAAATTATATTGTAATTTAAGAATGAGAATTTTCAAAGAATTTAAACAGTGTTACCATATATAAAAATGAATAGCAACAGGCTTTGCAAACGCGCAGACTCGAATGGAATCGATGAGCACATCCGTCATCCGCCACCATCCGCCATTTGCGATAGAAAAGCCGAACGCTGTATTGCTGTTCCGCGGCGCGAGTGACGTCGGTTTGATTATGTCGAGTGTATAAATTGTTATTTCAATAAAACTGTGAACAGTGCTTGCATTTGACCGCTTAAAATGATTGTGAGATTACTGAGCCTGTTGTTCGTGGGGATTTTAGCGGTCTCGGTGCAGAATGTCGAAGGCAACAACGACAATGAAGGTACTAAACCTAATTCTTGTTTTTTTTTTACATACTTTTCTTTATTTGTAGATATAAATAATAGTTATATTTGAGATTTATTGGACATTAAATGTATAAGGTTTCTTTTGATTAAACACGAATAATTTAACAACATAAACCTTACAAAATTGACATTTTTGGTATTCATAGGTGTTTATTTTTGGGATATTGTCGCCGGATAAAATTGACCGAAGAGAGGAATATAGTCGGCGGTGCAGTTGTTGATGTGTGGTGGTGGTCGCGACACCAGTGTGGGTGCTGCGAGCTTGAGAACCGGCCCGACGGCTTCTGAGTCGCCCTCTCGTTTCTCGCACACGTTCGCTTCTTGACCTCACTTTGTGGGCGTAATAGGACTCTAGGTTTCACAGCACTAAAAATTTCATCTCCTTAAATAGTCACCAAATTGATTTTTTTTACTGCAGTTTTGTTGTAGTTAGTTGTATATTAGCATGTTTCAATACCTGTAGTTAGAGATTAAAGTTTTTGTTAACTTAACCTAACCATTTTTCTAGATGTTCTCCTATCTTGAAACAGACTGCTAAATTAAGAAGAGAAGTTTTTTCTTACTGTGGTGACGGGGATAAAGAAAATAATAAGAACAGCGAGTCATATAAAATTATATTTTGATAAAAAATAAAATTAATTGAAGTACATATCCATTAATAAAATGCTACTTTTTCTATATAAAATTTTTTGAATTATTTTATTGTATGTTTAACTCTTTTTAATCCTGCTGTACTATGTTTTGCAGATATTTGCTATAACTTTGTACTGTCATAACGCTTGTATCAAATAATGCAGTTGTCATTGGTTTTATTAAATAGTACAATTATCATTGGTATAAATGTTAAGACAGTTACTAACTCCACTGCACTCTACTTTCTTCGACTGGATAGTGTTTACAATTAATATGAGGGTTTGTAGGACCAGGTCTCGTCACCAGGGGCAGGGAGAAGCATTTGTCCCTCACACACTTCTTGTACATTGAAAAAATTAAAATATGTTAATGGAAACTGATCTAGAAGTAGCCACAATCATCAACTGGCAATGCTCATGAAAGGGTCTCTAATAAAATCTCACACTCACTGATTCTAACCTTTTAACTACGCTGAATAATCTAGTGCTATTCATAACCAAGTCTAGGTATTTAGCTTTAGCACATTTTTCAACTCAAGCTATGTAGATTCCAGAAGCTGACATCAATGGCTCCCATGTAAACTGTCCTAAGACACTTTTTCGCGATTCACACCTTGTTATGTTTTTAAATAAACTTTAAAATTTCTGTGACTTTGGTTGTTTGTCTTATTTTCAAGTTTGATATATCGTAATTAATCGATCATTTACGTAAGAGCCATTTTTATTAACAACATTAACATTATGCACTTGAAGTGGTTTAAAAAAATTAGTGTTTGCACCATTACAGGAATATGCCGTCCTCTTCGTGTGGCGTATTTGTTACTTTTTAATTTACTTGATTTTTTGTAAAACAATAGTAAAATGGTATTTTTAGGTTAGAAAAAGATTAACCAATTTAAAACTCTGAAACTAAAATACTTGGACTTACGCTTAATGCAAAGCCTTCGTGGAAATTTTTCCTTATCTCTAGTGTAGTAAATCACTGCTCTATCATTCGCCGCAGAACACAATGACAATATTACAGTCTGCTTCATTATTCCGTGTCCTACTTTCTTCATACAAAATATTCACGTATCGTATATTCACCTTAAACGAAAATAAGATAATCCTTTACGTCATTTAATTGACTCGAGTAACTAAAGTGGAATACTTTAAAACGTTGGCTGTGAACTACAAAGATTTGTATTATTGTATGTTATGAACTCAAAAACTACTGGGGCAATTTTAAATATTCCTTCCCCATTAGAACGCAACATTATCACTGAGTAACATAAGCTATACTAATATTATAAAGAGGAAAGATTTGTATTTTTGTATTCGATTCAAGTAAAAACTACTGGACCGATTTTGAAAATTCTTTCACTATTATAAAGATAGTTTATCTGTGAGTAACATAGCCTAATTTTTTTAATTTCACGCGAAAGAAGTCGCAAGCAACAGCTATATTTAGTATTTTGGAACTAAATTATTATCCTTCACTAGGAGGTAGGTTGACGAGAGTTGAATCAATCAATTTGTTTAAAATGTTTTATCTACTGACAATAGATCTCGTCATTCATCAAAAGTAATCATTACAATTCAAATCACAGACAAATTCATTATTTGCAACAATATGTCGTAAATTATGTATTCAAAGTTTTGGTACGGGTCTAGGACTTCCTTCGCTAAAATTAGGGTTCCTCGACGGATGGCGTGACAGGTAATGCTAAATTAGCATAGCTTTTGGCTAAGGGGTGTGGCTTTTCGTGACTTTTGGATTGGTGATTCATAGTTGCGATTTGATTTATTATGGTACTGTTACGCTATTGCGGTTTGAATTAACTAAGTCCCCTCGGATTCAAAAAATGTAAAAGTAGATTATGTTCTTTTAGGCTATGCTCTACATCTATGCCAAATTTCGTGGAAATCCGTCCTTGTGCTTTGATACTTTATGACAAACATCCTTCTAAACATAAAAACTTTATAATTTCGTTGACTTAGTTTAATATTGTTTTTAATTTGCGAATATACTTTTTAGTGTAAACAGAATCTACGATTGTTTTATTACGTATATCTAAAACAAATCTTCAACAGCTTAAAGATTGGTTCCTAAATCTAGTTTTCTAATATTTGTCTGAATGTTTTGTAATTTTATAGATATTATTGTCAATAGTACACTGAGTAGCATTTTAACATGGCTCGACTTTGGTAAGCGGCGCACGTTTTCTACCGTCTTGTGATTGGTGTATTGTGTGGTCTGTTCCGCGGCCGTGGGAGGTCGCCCTAATCATGTGCTTGTATCGAAACACTTGAAAAATATTCCTATCTCTTTCATTCTGCCAGAAAATTCAGATATTACATTTATTTTATTGATCTTTATAGGTGAGAAAATCGCATAAATAGTCCCCTTTTCTGTACATTACTCAAAAATCTGTGGATCCTTAATGAATATTGAACCCTGATTTAAAATATAAAATGTCTTTGTTTATGTCTTTATTTGGCACAGAGTGTACACTGAGTTGACTATAGAGTTGCCATTGTCTTACGTAACAAAACACATTGAAGTTTTTTTTATAACACAAGTACTTGCGACTTATAGACAGGAAGACGAACACAATAGATATTAGCATATTTCTTTCGTTTGTGATATCATTTACGATTTTTAATAATCGTCTACGAGTGGTATACTGAAGTTTTATGAGAAAAAAACAGATTAAATTAAGAAACTCATAAAATACATTATATACTACATACAAAATACATTACATACTTACATAAACGTGTTATTTGAGTAACAAGGAATAAATGCACAAAAAACTGCAGCTCATTTGACATTTCCGCACTTGTCTGGTTTGAAAGCAGGTGCTCGTTTTTGTCGATCTACCCACTGCCTAAGTGACATACAACATCTGTTCTAAATGGGGGTGTGGCAGACATTATTGATGGGGTGAGCCATGGCTAATGGGGCGGTTTGGTAGTCAATTAGCTACGTTTATTGTTATTTAATGGATATTTTAAAAGATTTGTTTAATTTAATTATTAATAAATAAAATTTAATCGCATTAGTATTATTTCCTTTAAAAAAGTGAATAAAGACGATACTTCTTTTAATTTCCTGTTCAAATTACTTTGAAATACTAACTCGATTACATAGAATGTCTAGTTTGTTGCATTGCCAGATAAGGTGGAGTTGTTATAATGTTTGTCAGACAAGCTGGTAAGTTGATACGTGGATTGCGAAATAACGCGTGATGTCACCTTGTTAGTGCTTTGAAAATGTATGACTATGTACATTAATATAAAAATGATCGTGTTCTTTTCTTTGCGTAATGCAACAGAAAGAGATAAAGACAGTCTTGTCGTTTCCACGTTGATTTACGATATGCAGTTGTAAATCAAAAACAGTTCCTATAATATATAACCTAAAAATAAAAAATTTCACGCCTGGGGATGCAGCATTCAATTATTTTTGTAAATTAACAAAATTGCATTATATAAAGGTACCTTATTTGGTGTTAAGTATTAACTTCTTTCACTCTATGATAAAGACGCTAATTTGATTTCCCTTAGTGCGCGGGTGGCGCGATGACGCCTACGCAAGCCATAAAACACGGTTTCTTATTTGTCAATAACCGACATATCTCTTTCTAATCGAGAAATATCGTATTGACAGTTTTTCATTCAATATTCCGTATGAGCTTGTGGATGTGAAGTCCAAGAATTTATGTTTCTAAGAATTGTATACCATATCATACTTTCATAAAAAAATCATGACATTTAAAAAGCTTTTAAATAAAACTCGAATTATGCTTTCTTGGTTGTGGTTTTGATAAGCAAATGCAGTTATTTACTGGTTAGATTAGCAATATGGCGACTCCGTTGCCCATAGAATGCTCCGCGGTCAGTGTGCGGCGGACTGAGTAAATGTTGCCACATACAACCTACGCGGTCTGCCACTGTCTAATAATTCTTAAGCTTATTGCAATCGTGGTAAATTGTTTTGTTATTCGATTCTGGTCATCCAGATGTTCGAGTTTTCATTTATTTTATTTACTAGATTAAAAATTTATTCAATTATTATTGATATTATCGTGGAAACTTCGTCTTAAATAATCGTATAATGCAGGTGCTGTGGTATCGTACTGCCAGTGTCAATATTAAGAGATATGCTACACTAACAGCGTAATTATGATGTAATAATTATACAAAGATAATTAAAAATACCGATGACCCCGGTTTATATATCACAGAAATGAATATATTTTTAAACAATTAAATGATTTATATTAACTTTTGTTATAATTGCAGTTTTATTTGTAATTTAGTTTCATCTAACTAGCTCACATACGTCAGTTTATAAACAC